ACCTTCCAATTAATTTGCACCACCCAGCCTGCAGAAAATGCGCGTGCACTTTGCAAGCTCGTACCCGGCTCGTAACGAGCGCGCTCTGCCCTCAAGGGCGAGCATTGGTTAATGGCAGTCATGTGACTGATGCAAGCCAGATCCTTTTATTTAGCAAAATTGAGATTAATAGTTACATTTTATTGTTGAGGGGCAAAGACAGGGCTCCATACTCACATACACATAAAAAAAAAAAACATAAAAAAACAACAACAACAACAACAACAACAAAAAAAACCCAAGAAAAGGGCACTTGAGGCATCCTGGAGGAAAGGGGCGGGTGCTCAAGCACCCTCCTCCCCCCCCTTTGCACGTGCCTGTCAAGGTGTAAAGTAACAGTGCCAAGCCTGCTGCTTGTAATCCCTCACTAGCCTTTGTATATAAGTACCTGTTTATCTCGTCAGCCCCAGCCCAGTCATTGATTTGCTCCTCCTGTCTGCCCATGTTCTTCCCCATACTAGCTTTCTTGTTTTGACACCTCGCAGTCTTGTTTGTGCTCCCATTTAGTTCATAAAGCCCCTTTTTGTTCACCAAACGCTTCCCTTAAAATCCTTCATCTCACATTTCTTGACACTACTTTACCAAACCTTTTATTAGTATATACTTTACTATTTGTAGTTATAGTAGTCATTGTAGTAGTAGCACATAGAACATCACATAGAGCAGCGGGTAGAGGAGCACATAGAGGAGCATGTGCAGGATCACATAGAGGAGAATGTGCAGGATCACATAGAGGAGCATGTGCAGGAGCACTTGGAGGAGCATGCAGAAGAGCATGCCTGTGGTCAAACTTGCCCAGGGCACCACATGGGCTTCAATCTGCACTGCACCAGTCACTGTTTCCCTTTTTCATAAATTTCTGCCTGACAGGGTAAATTAATATTCTTAACAAAACGTGTAAATATTGTTTCCATTTTCTCATACAGGTGTCAGTGTGGAGTCCATTGCTGTATACTCCCAGGTGGGAGGTACTGTTGCTCTGCCATGTAACAATGTCATTCAGTCTGACTGCTCCTCAACCACATGGATTCATGCTAGTAGTGAAATCAAGGAATACAGTAAACTGGTTAATGATGGAAAGATCAAAGTTTCAAACTTACATGAGAAAATAAAAGTAGGGTCTAACTGCTCTCTGCACATTCATAATGTCAGCACTGCGGATGCTGGATCTTACACCTGCAGACAGATTATCAGTGGAAAGCAACGCAAATATGACACTTCAGTTTACCTGTCTGTTCTCACAGGTATAAATTTCACCGTGAGTCATAACGTTGTTCATAAAGATATGCATCTGTGGAAGTAAATCATGATGTCTTAATACAAATTATAAAGGAGTTAGAGCCTTCCTGGAATATAAATGTTCTTGTGACCAATGAACTCAATTCCAGTTATTCCATGTGCATAAAATGCATTTGAAATGTTGATTGAATGCAAACATGTAATATTGGGGGCATTTGATATAAAGACTATATATGTATTTGCATTCCTCAGTTGTTCCAGTGACTGATTTGAAGCCTGGCAGCACTATGACTCTACAGTGTCTCCTGTACACCTACCGTGGTCCTGGACAGTGTAATAGTTACATATTTTATACTCCGACTTTGAGGTGGGTGAATGACGCAGATAGTGATTTGCAGAAGGATCCCAGATACCAAATACACACGTCCTCCTGCGACTCCAATCTGACAACTGAACTTCAGTGGACAGACAACAACAGGAAGTGGGGATGTCAGCTAACTGCTAAGGGGGAAGTGAAGATCTCACACAGCTACACCACCATATTGTCTGGTAGGAAATCTAGTAGTCTAGTATTTATCTGGTAGAGATATTTTGAATGAGTAATGAAGTAATGTGCAAAAATGTAACAATGAACAAGTAAAATTTAATACACTCAACCCTTCCACATCATGGGGCTTAAAATGAAAATATAGTGAAGTGAAAATATACAAAGAAACAAGATACAAGAAACATGAGATACAAAGATCACTGCAAGATTACTGCGACATATCACATGAGAGCCTCCTGTAAGCATGCTGGGCAACCTCCAAACAGATTTAATGCATTTATGAATTACTAAACTTTTTGTATGTCATCTGCTGTTTTCTCAAAACTCCTAAAAACTCCCAAAAAAATTATTTAAATTTAATGTCTCATGCTAACCCTGTGATACATCGAAACCATGATGGGGAGAATTGCGATACTGAAGGGTCGTCTGTAAATGTATAAGTATGTATAATTAATGCCCTTTACACCCTCAGCACTTTTTCTAAGAGTTTCTGCTTCTTCTAGGTGCAGACAGAACTCGTTCAGCAGGTAATGTTTTTGCTTTTATCACCATCTTTGCATGTGCTATGTCTAATCAGATGCCTGTGTGCAGACGCACTAGCCTTACTATTAGGTACATCTGTTTAATNGTTTTTGCTTTTATCACCATCTTTGCATGTGCTATGTCTAATCAGATGCCTGTGTGCAGACGCACTAGCCTTACTATTAGGTACATCTGTTTAATGCAACCAACCTGCCCTGAAACACCAAATCATGTGGTTACAACTAAACATATATATGCAGTGAACAGACTGGGTAAAGAGCTTCAGCCACTATTCAGCGAGGCATTTCGACACTAAGAAGAGTGATCTAAGCCATTTTGCATGTGATGTGACTGTTGTGATGTGACTGCTGATGACTCCTGCATCTCAGGAACAGCTACTTTCCTGGGATGTTCACACAATGCAGTATGTAGGGTTCCAATAATAAACAGCTAACTTATTATTTAGGTGACGCTACGATTATATAATTCCTTGGTAAGACCCCACCTAGAATATTGTGTGCAGGTTTGGTCACTATACCTTAAGAAGGACATTGCTGCCTTGGAAAAGGTTCAATGTAGAGCTACTGTACAAGAATGATTCCTGGTCTTAGAGGAATGTCTTATGAGGAGAGGTTAGCTGAGCTGAATCTGTTCAGCCTGTTCAGCAAAGGAGATAAAGGGGGGACATGATCCAGGTCTATAAGATTCTAATGGGTCTGGATGCTGTTCAGCCAAATGGCTATTTCAATATTAGTTCAAATACTACAACTCGTGGCCATAAGTGGAAATTAGCAGGAGAACATTTTAAAATGAATCTGAGAAAGCACTTCTTTGCAAAGCATGTAGTTAGAATATGGAATAGTCTACCTGCTAGTGTAATGCAAGCTAAAACCTTGGGTTCCTTTAAATCAGAACTAGATAAGATTTTAACAATTCTGAGCTATTAGTAAAGTTCTCCCCAAACGAGCTTGATGGGCTGAATGTCCTCCTCTTGTTTGTAAATTCATATGTTCTTATGTTCTGTGGGAGAAAACAAAATGAGCAAAAATAGCAGATCATTGCCACAGTGGTGTGCAGAAAGTCTACTTTGAATTGTCTACCCTAAGTGTGGTTCTGGAGACCATGGTGGGGACTCCCAGGTACTAGGTAGATGTATCTAGTTAAGTGGCCACTGAGTGTGTTTGTGTTAGGTGTGATTTTAGGACCTGACCTCTAGGGGGCTCAGCACACTGCAGGGTTAACACTCTCAAGAAATATGGGGAAGAAACATGGGTCTGAAGAAAAATCGAGTGGCTGAAGTTCCCAAAAAAAGGGTCAGGACACATAAATACGGCTAATTCAGAAATCATTTATTACTGGCTTTCGAATAATTAATTAAAGCCATTTAGGTAATTAGTCCTAATTCTTATCAGAACAACTTATAATGTTTTGTGAACAGGATTTCAACATCGAATGCTGAGAAAAAAATGGGTGAGATTAACATCTGAGTCTGAGTCTTGGGACCATATATTCTGTTACGGGGGACAAAGTTAAACATGACAGATCAACATGTGATTAATAAATTCTCACTTATATGCTTGGTATGTCATCATTGGACAATGTATAAATAGAATATAAAATAGTAACAAAGGCATTAATGTAAATATACTGTACCGCATACAGACATGTCTGTAGTGGTTACTGATACAATAACGCGACCATCTACTACTCCACTCGGTGTCTTTTGTACCATTTCAGCTCCCTCCCTAATTCCCTCCCCAATGTACTTGTACAGATGGCAAATGAATCAACAATTAATATTTGTTGAATATCTTAAATACTTTCTTAATCTAGAAAGGGGAGAAAAGCATTGTAAGCATTAACATTTGATCCAATACAAATCTGACTTTTTCCCACAGAGCTTCCTGTGAGACTGATGTTCTTCTTCCTGGCTCTGATCATCCCTATGATCATTGCTGCTTCTGTTTACACTCCTCCTTCTTAAGGGTGAGTCTAGTTACAACAAGTAACACAGCTATGTGTGAAGCATTATCTCAGTATGATGTATGGATTATAATATCATCCAACCCCCCATCCATGCATCTTCCAACTGCTTATTCAATACAGGGTTGCAGACAAATAATAGCAGTATAATCCAAACTAAATTACTTTTTATTTTAATTTAGCATCTCTTACATATAATTAAATTATTCAGATAAGTTTTACTACTTACTGCTTAACAGGACTGAGGATGTTTCTCTTGTCCCACAGGTCAATAGTGTGCAAGCAGCATTCTTCAAGAGAAGAACTGACTTCCTGCTTGTTACTTCTCTTACTTTATGTCTGCAGCATAGATTTTATCTATACCATCCACATGCTTAAACATTTTGTTATATTATACTTTGTTAATTTTTTTTTTTACAAAATATAAATACCATGACATTAATATGAACATCATTCAAAAACATGTTCAGTACAACAGATTGGAGATTTGTTGTGTTTTTCTCATTGAGTACTGTACATGCTGTGTAAACCATCCTTTCCAATTCAGTATTCAGTACCAATAATTTAGGAATGCAGATTTATTTAGATTGTGAAACTTTCAGACAGTGGATATGTATAAGCAAAGCTCTTTTCTTTATCATTACTGTACATTTACATTTAGATGTTTGATGTGTATTAATGCGTAGAAATATGTGTAATGCAGTAAAGATTTTGAGTGTTAATTCTAAACTCAAATAAACAAATTATATAAATATAATATACATTTCAGTTTTACAGCACATAAAGTTTCTGAATTATTCAGACAGTCCATTATCAATTAGTTAAATTAAAATTTGAAAAAGTTTGAAGGTATGTGTTAAAGCCAATCCATTTTTCATCCTTTGTATAGAATCTTCCATAAGCAGAAAACATTAAATATTATATTTGCTGTAGACTGGATGCGACAGGAGAAATAACATCCATAAAGTGGCCTTAGCTATGCAGATATGTCATATCTGGACTGTTCATTACTAAGCATTTGCACAACTTAAGACTTTTTACAGTTGACAGTTATGTCATGAAAGTCGAGTTGACTTCTACTAAACACTGATAACATTGTTAATAAAACCACAGGAGAAGGAAATGCTTTGCAACAGGTGGACAATCTGAATTTGCAAAACTTAACGTACTGAGCACAGACAGCTCATACACATATGTTTCACACGGAACAGAAACAAGTAGAAACAACATGTTGCAACTCAGCAACAGCAATTTATGCAACAATAGCACTTGTTAGCTGCAACTTCCATTTAGGTGCGAAAGAACAAAGATTGAAATGTTAGCATAACACTTGCAGGGTAAAACAAAACTAATGCAAGATCCAGCCTGTAAACCACCTCCTCGAGGAGGTTTACAGGAGGATAAACAAGTCATTTTGTTAATTGTTAGTTACTGATTGCGAACAAAACAGGACTCAACGACTAGTCGTTGCAGAGCAGTAAAGTCGACTAGTCTGTGCAACCTGTTGCAGACTTGCAAGGTCCTGGTAGGCACGGCTACTAAATTAAACTTAGGCCAGTTTCCTCGTCCACAGTAGACCTCCGGTCAGAGAGGGACACAGGAGCAGGTAGTGCAGTTGCGTTGAACTTTAATGATGGTATCTGACATAAATCAGCAACAGCTAAGGAACATGTCAGTATACACTATACTATACATTAATAGTGTAAATATTATTGACATCAACATTAGCGGTTAGCATTAGTATTAACGACCTACGCTAGCATTTAACGTCAACGTATTACAATCAAGACGACTCATAGACATAATCCAGGCAGCACTCATGCAAGAACTCAAAATGTAACACATAAAATATAACATATAACACCTTAATACAGTGGTACCTCAGATCTCAAACTCATTAGAACTCGAATTTCTTAAAAGTCGAACCAACCAGTTTCGAAAACTTACCTAAAACTCGATCTGAATCCCAGAAGTCAAACCGTGAACGCCGACCTAAGATAACTTGTATGCGCAGGGAAATGAGTCACGCCGCACGTCTCTCAGCGGAAACAAAGGGTAAAGCTTCAGTCTCAACCAGGCATTGGCTATGATAACATCCTGCATGTTTACACTAGCTGAATACATATACAGTGGTACCTCGGTTCTCGAACTTAATCCGTTCAGGACTCTGGATCGAATCCTAAAAAGTTCGAGTTCTGATCGAATTTTTCCCATAAGAAATAATGGAAAACCAATTAATTGGTTCCCGGCCTCCAAAATTACACCTAAATATGTTTTTTTAGCATTTAAACACAAAATGAATATGGTAAAACAAGAAGAGCATTTTTTTCTTAATGACTTCCAAAACGATAACATTACCCCTGTCCTGTCCCGATTGTCCGCTCCTTCCGTGTGCCACGCCCCCTCGTTAACCTCATGTGGGATCCCCATGTGATCAGCTGTTTGTGGTTGTTTGGACACACAGAACATTGGTTCATAATGCCGGTGTTCTGACAAAACATCCTACCTATCGAGACATGCTATCGAGCCTTTCTGTGCATGTGCAGTTCCACCGTCTTGGGATTAGGGTTAGGTTTTAGGGGTTAGGGGTAAGGTAAGAGTTTTATGGGTTTTTGGGGTGTTAGGGTTAGGGTTAGGATTAGGGTAAGAGTTAGGGTTAGGGCTATCGATTAGCACTACGGTAGGATGTTTTGATAAAGTAGGACGTTTTGTCAGAACACCGGCTCGTTCACGAATTACACATCGGACTAGGCTAGTACCATTATGTGAAAGAAGGAAGGAGGGCAGATGCTCCAAGACGGTGAGTGTTAGTACAGGACACTGTCATTCTGTGTACCTGTCACTGCGACAGACGAGGACCCAGATTTAAATGCAAGCGCATCATGAAGAAAAAAAGAGTGAAGAAATGAGTGAAAACTGAAAAAGAAGCAGCATCTGGCTGCATTTCAGTAACATTGGAGACTGCAAAGCTAAGTGTAGAATTTGTAATATGAAAATATCCGTTAGAGCAGGGTCAACAACAAACCTGCACAGACATATAAGAACCACCCACCCATCCGTGCAACTGGAGGAGAGCGTGCCCTCTCGCCTGCCATCCACTGACCCTGGAAAAGACCCAAGTACTTCTGCTGCAGCATCCACTGTCTTACCGAAAACTGCAGGTATAACACGGTCTTCAGTTCAAACCAAAATAAGCACACCAAAATAAATGATGCCAGACACACAAATTAGTGTCGATG